AAAATTCTAAACTTTTGCTCTTAAATTAAAAAGCAGGTCATAACTGAGAGAAAATATTTGTGAATAACTTGTCTGATAAAAGACTTGTATCCAGAATTTATGAAGAACTTCTGTAAGTTAGTAAGAAAACTATCAATAAAAAGGGGAAACAATTTTTTAAATGGTCAGCAATTTTGAACAGATGGTTTTTGAAAGAAGATAAAGAATGTCAGATAAATAGATGAAAAGATGGTCAGCATGATTAATCTCCAGAGAAATGCCCATTAAAATCACTATTTAAGCTGGGCGTGGTGGCAGAAGTGTGTAATCCCAGCTATTCAAGAGGCTGAAGCAGGAAAATCTCAAGTTTGAAGCCAGCCTGGGCAATTTATCAAGACCCTGTCTCAAAATGCAAAGGGCTGGGACTGTAGTTCATTTTCAGAGTTCTCATGTACAAGACCCTAGGTTCAATTCCCAGTATTCACCAACCCCCCCCAAAAAATCCTAATTCACTACTGTTTTACACCCATTCTAAGATTAACATTAAAATTCCAGCGATTGATGAGATTATGAAACTGCTGGAACCCTCATGCACTGTTGATAAGAATATAAAATGGCACAACAACTGTGAAAATAGTTTGCCAGTTTCTTACAAAAGTAAAGGAAGGATATGCTTTTTTAAAAATTCTAATTAGTTTCACATGACAGCAGAATGCATTTTGACACATTGTACACAAATGAAGCACAACATCTCATTCCTCTGGCTGTACATGATGCAGAGTCACACCAGTTGTGCAATCATACATATATATAGGGTAATAATGTCTGTCATTCCACCATTCTTGCCACCCCCACATCCTCTCCTCTCTTCTCATTCCCTTCTGCCCAGTCCAGAGTTCCTCCATTATTCCTGACCTACCCCCCCCCACACACACACACACACATACCCCATTATGGATCAACATCTGCTTATCAAGAAAAATCCTTTGGGGATTTTTTTAAATTTTTTAAAAATATTTATTTGTTCTAATTAGTAGTACATCATAGCAGAATGCATTTTGATTCATTGTACACAACTTTTTATTTCTCTGGTTGTAGAGGATGTAGAGTCATGCCACATGTACCTGGGGTAATGAGTTCATCTCATTCTACCATCTTTCCTATCCACTTGCCCCCTTGCCTTCTCTCCCTCTCTTTGCCCAATCCAAGTTTCTCCATTCTCCCCATGCCCTCCCACCCCTTTCACTTAGCATAATATTCTCTAACTCCATCCATTTACCTGCAAATGCCATAATTTTATTCTCTCTTAATGCTGATACTCCATTGTGTATATGTACCACAGTTTCTTTATCCATTCATATATTGAAGGGCATCTAGGTTGGTTCCATAGTTTAGCTGTTGTGAATTGAGCTGCTATAAACATTGATGTGGCTGCATCATTGTAGTATGCTGATTTTAAATCCTTTGGGAGAATATGTTTTTGATACCCAACAATCCTATTCCTAAATATTTTCCTAAGGGAAATCAAAAGCTTAGGTAAATTTTTTAAAAGTTTTTTATTGCATTTATTGTGCTGTTCTGTTTATAATTGCCAGAAACTTGAGACAACCTAAATATTTATCAGCAGATGAATAGCTAAACAATGTTATATCCATACAACACAATTCCACTCTGCAAAAAGCAAAAAGAACAAAACTACACTGCCCAGCAACATGGATGAATCTCATAAATGTTAAGAGAAAAAAATTAGACAAAATGGTACATTATGTATGATTCCCTTTACATGGGGTCCTAGAACAGGCAAAATTAATATATTGTGACAGAAAACAAATTAGTGATTGCCTGAAGTGGAGGATTAACTGCAAATATGAACAAAGTAACATTTTGGACTGATTTTATTTTTAGAGTGGTTACAGGAGTGCATCCATTTGTCAAAACGAAACACTGTATTTTATTGTATGTAAAGTATACATCAATAGTTTCCTTTTTTTTTTATTATTTAGTTTTTGAGGATCTTTAATTTTTTTTATTTATTTATATGTGGTGCTGAAAATTTAACCCAGTGCCTCACACATGCTAGCAAAGCACTGTATCACTGAGCCACAACCCCAACCCTCAATAGTTTCCTTTTATGGATCAGATTTGTGTGACTTTTTTGCCTCTCTCTTGAATTTGAATATTATCAATCCTAAATTTACCTTATCCTTTGTTTGGTTTTCTCTTTCTTACTCCTTCTTTCATTTATCGCCTTGTCTTCTATTAGTCTATAAGCTTTTTATTCATCCTTGTTTACCCTTTAGCACCTAGTTAATTGTAATCTTTCAGTGGGTATTTGCTAAACTGAGTTAATACAATGCAAAGAAAGATATATCAGCTATTGCCTGATTACTGTACTGAAGTCTGGAAAAAGTCACAATTCCACATATCATCAAGACCAAGGCTGTATAAAGCAGCTAAGAATTGATAATATGCATCCTTTGGCAATCTTAGTTGTTTACTTTAGGCAGGCCTGTTTTTACATTCTATGAATTGGGTGGAAGACACATGGGAGATGAGTGGCCCTAGGCCCTGTGGCAAATTGTATCTAAGGCAAGGCACTGTATTCTGGTTGCAAAGGGCCAGAACATTTAGGCAAATTGTACTAAGTAGCAGTGCATTTGATTCCAGCAATAAAAGAAAATTAGATAGTATCACAGAAATTTAGTGCTGGAAGGTACCATGGATGCAATTTAATCATATTCATATTCATTATTATATAGATCCAGAGAGAGTAAATAATCTGCCTATCACCACATCCACCCACAAATTAGAGGCAGAGTTAAGACTAGAAACCAGGTTTCTATCAGTTCCCATGCCCAGAATTTAATAAAGTGGGAATTGGCTAATTGTTCTGATGAGTTGCCGTAGACAAGTTAGATTGGGATTTGGAGTTTAGACATGAGTGGGATAAGTTTAAAAAAAAGAAAAAGCAAGGGATGTGGTCAACTGGTCAACTGTCATTGTTTCATTATTAGAGTCAAACAAAATTTGGAAACATGGGGAAGGGAGTTGGCTAAAAGTCCTGGTGATGACTTTGCTTTTATTTCTAATTGAAGTCTATTTTGTAGTGGTAAATTTTCTATAGTAAGAATACATTATAATTTTTTGAGGAGTCATTAGTATAAATAACCTAGAATATTGTTGAATTCAAAGGAATGTTAAAATAATCTAAATCGAATCCATCTCCCTCTCCCACACCCTTTTTCACTATTCTCTGTTCATGGGTAAATTTACTGGAAGTTCTGGAATAGTCACAGTTGCTATTTTGCGTTTAATTGGCTTTGCATTCCTTTCTTTTTTAAAAATAGTATTAAGTCATTCATAATTAAGTGATTTCAAATGGTCATTTAAATTTTAATGATGAAGGACACTGAGATCCAAAGGCAGCTTTGAAAGCTAGAGCAAAGCATGTTCCTTACCTGGATCTTTTGAATGAAAGAATAATAGTATGGATGGTGATGATGAAGGAATACAAGCTACTGCTTTTTAATGTATTCTCCACTCTCAGTATATGGATGCAGCCTCCAAATTTTACAAAGAAAATAATCATCAGCACAGCATCTCTGCTTTCCTGTGGATTGGCCTTTTTGTAAAGCAGCCTTATGATTTTCTTAGTAAAAGTATTTTATTTTAAAAATATATTTCTAGACACTTACTTCTGGTAGGCCTGGGAAAATGTAGATTGCTTCATGTCTCTTCAAAATTCCTTTCAAAGAAATGAGTTAAACTTGATTTGTGTTTTTCAGATAGAGGAAAGTAGTAAGGTGGGAGGTAGAAGGAAATCTTAACTTTGCCTTGGGGGAAAGAAAAATCTTTCAGTCCTTTGTTGACACCTTAGCTTCTGCATTAGTCATAGGTCCTTTTCCTCCTTTGCCATGGGAGGACCAGAGGAATGGCAGCCATCCTAGGTTTTTAAAAGGACAGTACAAAAAGAAGAAAACAGCTGATATAGAAAAATTTAGTGATTTTTTTTTTTCTTCCCCTCTATATTTTACAGTTGTATTTTTAGGTTGATAATCAATGGCTTCTGGATATTTGGCCTCCTTTTTTTGGTCCTTTATTTCACTGTTTTGGGTATTATTGAGTCCAGTACAAAATCCCTAACCTTAATAATGCTTAGTTTTTTAAAATGTTACAATGAAAGTCACCTAGGATGGATAGCTAGTGGACACAATTAATGCCAATGTTGGGAGGAAAAAACTTCTACCAACTTAAGTCTAAATTGGGACCTGGGAATTAACTGACAATGGGCAGATTAACTGGAGAAAAGACAAGGTTTATTCACACACTGGTGGGATCACTGAGTAATGAGTAACTCACTGAGGAGATCAGAGGATTATAGTGGGGAAGATTCTGCTGAAACTTGTTTACCCAAATTTTTTGGAATGTGTCCATAGTCAGTTACCTCATCATCTCCATGACTGGACACCTCCAGGAAGGTTGGGTAAGGACACCTGCTTCTCAGTAAAGCTCTGTTTGAGTCAGATAAGGAAGTTCAGATAAGGTTTCTTTCTACATCTTCTGTTGGATGTTGGTCCTTCACTGATAATTTATATTTGGATTGTTGGTCCTTCGCTGATAATTTATATTTGTATATTTATATTAATGACTTTCAAAGCATTTTCGCATCTCATTCAATTCTCATAGGACATTATCAATAGACAGGGCAAATACTGTTATCCTCATTTCACAGACTCAAAGGCATTAAGTATTTGTTGAGAGCCACACAACTGATTAGGGAGCAAAATTAAGAGTTTAAAGTATTTAGGTCTAGGGCTATAACTCAGTAGTGGAGCACTTGCATAGTATGCACAAGGCTGGAGCCCCAGCACAGATTAAAAAAAAAAGTTTAATAAGGTATTTAGCATTTCTCACTATACCTCTAGAATCCACTTTGAGTACTAACAAATTGAATGATCTATTGTGTATCTGTAAGTGCTTTAAAGATGACAAAGTTGAGTAACATTTTATTTGTTTTGTAGGAGAAGATGATGTAAACTGGTTCATCAGTGACAAAGACGTTGAGGTAAAGTCAAATTGTTTTTAAAATTTTGAATTATAGGTTAATAAATTTTCCTTCGATACAAGGTTTCCTTTTATTTCATCACAATAAATTTTGAAAGAATCAAATGTTTTTAAAACAGCAGTAGTCAAAATGGCTTAGAAAGTTTGATTTCAGTATGTAAGTGATTTAACTTTTCAGAAATTTGGTTCAGCCTTGACTTTTATCAGCTGATTAATAGCCATAATGATATAGGTTCTTTCCTTTTCTATTTCTTCTGTCTTGATGAGTCCTCTTAGCCCACTGTCCTGGTACTGCTAAAGATCAACACCGGAAATAACTGCTTCTTCAGTGTAAGGAAATGGTTAGTCTATATTTAGGATATGGCAGGTGTTTGACCTTGTCAAATATTGGCCTTCTTGTGACAGATGCTAAAAAAGAATAGAAGTTTTAAGAGATAACTGTCCTACTTAGCAAGTTCAGCAGAATAACAAATAAAAGATGAAGATTGTCAAAGATGGCATTCTGACAAATGAGATTAAAAGCATGGTTGGGAGACACGCCGTCTGATAGAAGAAAAAGTTGGCTACGATCTACATACTGTGGGGTCGGGCTCCAAATTCCTCAATAGGACACCCATAGCACAAAAGTTAATAACTAGAATCAACATATGGGACTTACTCAAACTAAAAAGTTTTTTCTCAGCTAAAGAAACAATAAGAGAGGTAAATAGAGAGCCTACATCCTGGGAACAAATCTTTACTCCTCACACTTCAAATAGAGCCCTAATATCCAGAGTATACAAAGAACTCAAAAAATTAGACAATAAGAGAACAAACAACCCAATCAACAAATGGGCCAACGACCTGAACAGACACTTCTCAGAGGAGGACATACAATCAATCAACAAGTACATGAAAAAATGCTCACCATCTCTAGCAGTCAGAGAAATGCAAATCAAAACCACCCTAAGATACCATCTCACTCCAGTTAGATTGGCAGCCATTATGAAGTCAAACAACAACAAGTGCTGGCAAGGATGTGGGGAAAAGGGTACACTTGTACATTGCTAGTGGGACTGCAAATTGGTGCAGCCAATTTGGAAAGCAATATGGAGATTTCTTGGAAAGCTGGGAATGGAGCCACCATTTGACCCAGCTATTCCCCTTCTCGGTCTATTCCCTAAAGACCTAAAAAGAGCATGCTACAGGGACACTGCTACATCGATGTTCATAGCAGCACAATTCACAATGGAGTATTACTCTGCATTAAAAAATGACAAAATCATAGAATTTACAGGGAAATGGATGGCATTAGAGCAGATTATGCTAAGTGAAGCTAGCCAATCCCTAAAAAACAAATGCCAAATGTCTTCTTTGATATAAGGAGAGTAACTAAGAACAGAGTAGGGTCGAAGAGCATGAGAAGAAGATTAACATTAAACAGGGATGAGAGGTGGGAGGGAAAGGGAGAGAGAAGGGAAATTGCATGGAAATGGAAGGAGACCCTCAGAGTTATACAAAAGTACATACAAGAGGAAGTGAGGGGAAAGGGAAAAATAATACAAGGGGGACAAATGAATGTCAGTAGTGGGGGCAGAGAGAGAAGAGGGGAGGGGAGGGGAGGGGGGATAGTAGAGGATAGGAAAGGCAGCAGAACACAACAGACACTAGTATGGCAATATGTAAATCAATGGATGTGTAACTGATGTGATTCTGCAATCTGTATATGGGGTAAAAATGGGAGCTCATAACCCACTTGAATCAAAGTGTGAAATATGATATATCAAGAACTATGTAATGTTTTGAACAACCAACAATAAAAAAATTAAAAAAAAAAAAAGCATGGTTGGGATTTATATACTCCTCTTTAGGTATTCCATATGATGTATTTTTTTCTAATATTCCTTTGCAGACATTAGAATTTGACTAGAATATAGGGCAGCCAGAATTGAGTAACTGTGTATGTAGCAGCATGGATCTTTTCCTTTTAGAAATTATAATGCAGTCTTCTAGGCATTAAGAGTAACCCTGTGCTGTTCAAAAGAAGTGGGGAGGTATTTAGCAGCTATGTGGTTACATAACTATAAAAGAGAACATCATAAAAACTCTGTTCCCTAACTAAAAATTTAAGCAGGCTTTTCATTCGGAAATATGTGATGTAGATTTAGGTACAGAAGTCAGCAATGACTTTGACTCTGAATGCCACCAGAGTGTGTTAATGATGCATATCAGTACCTCTGCTAGATCTGAACTGTAAGTGGAAAAAGAAAAGAGAAGAAATAATGTAAACAGAAAAGAAAGAGCAGGCATAAAGGAAGAGAGCTATATTTATGATGGTATCCCTTTGATGTCTTTCTACTCCTTTTTAAGAGAATGAGAGAGAGATCGTGAAGTTCTCTGTTGCTGGATTCAAAATTGAACAGATTTGACTACTAATTGTTTTTTCTTTAAAAAGTAATGGGACTGGGCTGGGGTTGTGGCTCAGCGGTAGAGCATTCACCTAGCACATGCAAGGCCCTGGGTTTGATCCTCAGCACCACATAAAAATAAAAAAATAAAAGGTATTGTGTCCAACTACAACTAAAAAAATAAATATTTTTTTAAAACAGTAATGGGACTGATTTTCTTCTAAAAGGAAAGTTTTTTTAGTAGTATGAAATATTTTTTTTTTTTAATTCTTGACTTTTTTCCCTCTCTTAGGCCCAGATAGGTAATAACAGATCATCCGGAAGATGGACCCGCCGATACTATTCTGCTAACAAAAACGTTACCTGTAGAAATTGTGACAAATGTGGCCATTTGTCCAAAAACTGCCCTCTACCACAAGTATGTTAAACATGTAATGCTTTTTTTCACGTCGTTAAAGTCAAAATTTTAGTGTTGAAACCCTATAACTTTCGAATTCAAATCTGTCTTGTAAACGTATGTTAAATTTCATGTAGCTCACAGCCTGCCCTACAGTAAAGAACACTAAATTTAGCATCAGAAAAACCTGGAGTTAATTCCAGCTTCCCATTACTAATTGTACAACCTTGGGAAAATCATTTAACTCTCCGCCTTGGTTTTCTTGTCTGTAAAATGAAAAGACTACATAAAATGAGTCCTGAGACACTTCCCTTCCACAATTCCTTATGAAACAACTTGTTTCATTGTGGGATAATTTTCATTTTTAGAGAATTACAATTTTATTCATTTACAAATATATATTGTTGTAATTATTTTAAGCAGATACATCAGCCTTTGGACATCATAGAAATTAAGTTCTTAAACATTCCCTCATATATAGTAAGGTCTAATCAAACTTTTACCTTACTTATTCCTTCTTTCAGATGACTGTTTTTCAAGTAATTGAGACAGTACTTATATTTCATCTTTGTTTTTGCTGTTTCAGGCAAAACTGCTTCTTCTATATCTGCTCCTCCTCTGACTTAGCTTCTAGATATCTTCCTCATCCTATTTTTCTCTTTGATGCTTTTCACTTTGAATATTCCTGTAAGAAAATACATGAGTAGTGAATGCCCACTGACAGTCTAGTCATACTAGGTCTTTGCAGCACCATGACATATAAATAGCTTGTGTTAAAACTCTTTAAGTTCAAACATTTTTTTTGATTTTACAGTTATACTTAGGATTGTTGTCTCAAATTAGAAATAATTTTATGTGGAATTATATAGAAAAAGAAATATTAATTTTCCACTATTTGACACTGAAGTGTTTTGCTAAAGAGATTTTCTTTTTGTCTGCCACAGAAAGTCCGTCCCTGCTGCCTCTGTTCTGAGAGAGGACATCTCCAGTATGCCTGTCCAGCTCGCTTTTGCTTAGATTGTTCTTTGCCTATGTCTTCCAATCATAGATGTCTCGAAAGGTCTTCCTGGAGAAAACGATGTGACCGATGTGATATGATAGGCCACTATGCTGATGTGAGTAAACTGCGTATAATTGAGGGCAGTGTACCTGTTTGCAATGATCAGTATACCTAAAAGAACTTTTACTTTGCATTGTATAGAATGGTAGTCATAACCTTTTGGCCATTGAACTTGCAAATCATTACTCTGAATATCAGTGCAGTATTCATGAGGAGGCAGCATCATTAAATATTTTAAGCTTGTGCTAATCCTTTTACTTGATGTGCTTGCCAAGTAAAAGTTGATATTAAAGAGATATGTAATAAGCAACATGCAAAATTTATGTACATATGCATGAATATTTAAGTGAAAATATGTCAGGTGCAGTGGTGCATGCCTGTAATCCCAGTTACTCTGGAGGCTGAGGCAGGAAGATCGCAAGTTCAAAACCAGACTCAGCAATGGAGAGTCGCTAAGCAACTCAGTGAGACCCTGTCTCTAAATAAAATACAAAATAGGGCTGAGGATGTGGCTCAGTGGTTGAGTATCCCTTGGTTCAATCCCCAGTACCAAAAAGAAAAAGAAAATAAATGCACATTGAGCAATTACTTATATCCATAAGAAGTCTGATTTAATGTTGCTTGTTGATGATTTTTTTACTGGTATAATAATAAACAGTGTTAGGCAAGAAGGACAGTTCATCTAAAACTTTAAATATGCTAGTCTGAATAGCTCTATTTTTAGGAGTAAAAGGAAAATAATTTAGACAACATTTCAGTTATTTGCAGCACATTAAAAATTTCCATTGAACATTGCATCAGTTGTTAATGTGTGTAGGCTGAGGGAGCTAGTTCTCATCACAATTTCAGAGACCAGAAGGGCTGTTAAAGCAAGTAAATACAGCTTTGTGGAATATATAGTTTTTAAATTCAGTTTACTCCTAATGAATGTCTCATTAAGGGTCTGTCATTTTAGCTCTTAATTGCATCCCTTACTATGCAGTAACATATGTTTATTTTGTATTAACAGCTAATCAGTGCAAAGTCATTTTTCATGCTCATACCTAGGTGCTGATCTAATTGGTTAAAGGGACATTCATGAAAGGATTAGCTATCTTTCTTTTTTCAAGCATTACTTAACTATTAAAATTCTGCACAAAAAAATCTTTTCCCTATAATGTGTACTTCTCAAAGACATGATAGAAAACCACAGATATCGTTTTTATTTTTTTTTACCATTGAAGTGTGCCTTTTGCTCAAAAAATTAATATGGCTTTCTGTTGAAATGAATTTCAGATTAAAACAGAGTACATGTGTTTGATATGTGTGTTTTTCATGTAAGTAATTGACAGTTATCAATTGTAATTCTTCCAGTAAATTTATTTATATTTGGTGCTGAGAATTGAACCCAGCCTCACACATGCACTCTATCACTGAACCATAATCCCCGTAATTATTAATTTTTAAGCAGTGCTACAGTAAACATCTTTTTATGTATATATGTATGTATGTATGTATGTATGTGTCTATCTACATATGTGTAAGAGTGTTATGATTGGTCTGATTCTAAATGGAATTGTGGTCAGTTCATTCCAAAATAGTTTAAATTTATTTTTCAATATTTACCATATCTTAAAAATGCTAAATCCTGTCCTTTTGTTGTTGCTCTCTGCATTGAGTTATCAATTATAATTTTCTTAGGAAGATTTTCTAGTTTGGCAGTTATGTTTAAAGGCATCTGTGTTTTATTCCTTTGTTCTAAAGAACTCTTACGAATATGTTCTCATTTGCCTGCGATAGCAGAAAGTAGTCAAGACATTATCCCAAACATTTTTCTAATAAGCTGTAGTACAGAACAGTTAAAAATTACTAATAAAAGGTTATATAATCAACTATAAGCTAATGTTATAGCTAATCTTAACTTCTTCATTTTGGCCTCTAATATATGTTAAACTCTTATCTAAAATGGTATTGAAGATTCATAATCTCAGTGAATGTAAATTTTAAAGATAGGGTTAATCTGTGTGTGATTCACTTCAGACATGGCAATACCTTCCCCCAAAAAATCTGCCAGGAAGTGGGGGTGGAGGGGCAATGGTAATTACATGATAAATGTTTGAGACTCTGGAGTCTGTTTCCAGCCTGCCCACCTGGTGTAGGATTTCCATGGAACTCCACCAAAGATGGACTCTGCTGACTTCTGGTGGAGTGACTGGTAGAGTCCTTCCAACACCCAGAACCTCTTCAGTAGGATTCACCTGGAAGCAGAGCCATATCGGGCATTAGGGTGCTAGAACTGTTCAGCTACTCCCATACATAATTTAGAACTGTCTTGAAACCTCACGTTCCACAGAAAGCATTGATTCTTTTGCAACCCTCTCAAATGCTTGCTGCTCATTCTTCCTTGACCCATATACTTGTTAGATGATAGGTCCCACCTCTTCCTTATTTGCCATGGCTACTTCAAAGTCATTACTTCTCCCTCTTTATGTGGACACCTGACAATACTATCCTTTATACTATCCGTTGTCATGTTCATCTTCTCACTTAGTGGACTTTCTGCTCAGTCACAGAAGACTTCTGAAACTCCAAATAACTATCAGTGCTCTAACCCTTAATAAATTGAGATCAAGAAACTTCCACTTTTTACTTTGTATGTTCCAGTAGTCAGCACCTCACCTCTGTTATGTAAGAGTACCAGATACATATGTGCAAAGAGAATTTGTGATGAGTCACATTCAGATCTTTGCTATAATGAAAACTGCTTGGAAATAACCTCATAGGTTAGTTACTTAGCAAAAGTATTTGAAATTCCACAGTTAACAATACAAAGGATAAAAATATAGCCCACAACCTACTAAAGTCAACCTATACCAGTAGTACCTTTCAAAGGACAAGAATGAGGAGTATGGAAAGAATCCCAATTCTGAATCTGCCGTAGATTCTCATCTTGCCAACAAATTTTAAATGTACCAAGAATTCTAAAATGGTATGCACATTCAAGTTGCATACAGTCCCACTCTTTGAGCTCTGTCTGACATTTCCAAGATAATGACATAATTAATTGAGTACTTACTGTGTTTTAAGAACTATGAAGGAGTAGGTAAGGGCTTCGTTCACTGCTGTATCCTCAGCATATAACAGATGCTCAATAGATATTTGTGTTTGAGTCATTTATTTAATCCTCACAACCAGCATAAGAGGTATGTATTATTTATTACTCCCACGTTACAGAAGAAAAACTGAGACATTGCAAACTTAGGCTTTGTCCAAGGTCTCAAAGCAAAATGATAAGAACTTTGTGGATATACATAGAGAAAGCTTACATATTAATATTCTAGCAACTGTGAGTTTAACTCCTGCCCAGAGGATCTTTCAAGTTTCCTGTCTTATGTCTGCAAATGTTGTAGATCAAACAAGTATCTTTGATAACAAACTCATGATATTTAAAGCATCAAAGTCTTTCACTCTTTAAAGAACTTCTGAAGATCAGGAAAACAGTATAAAAGGTTGATTTTCAGCCACAGAACCAGTTCTGTTATACCACAAAACTGTGCTGCTCGTAGGAGACCATCCCAGCTTCATCGTCTTTATTAATTATTGAATGGCCACTCTTTTTTTATTAAAGCATAATGATGGAGTCAGTCAAAATAAGGTGGAATTAGAACTCTTACCTCCTAAATTCTTTTCCTTTCTTTTGCAATTTTTTCCTTAAATTCCCTGCTTGGTGCTTTACTTCATCCCATATAAATAACTCCTTCACATGACCATTGTGTACAAGAATAACATGCCATCTTTTGGGTAACACAGCACTTGAGCCACTCATTTTTAAACTCAGTGAGAAACTAATTCATGGGACATATTTTACTAGATTCCTTGATTTATATATTTGATGCTAGGAAAAAAGTTCTCATCTGTTGTATACTAAAATATTTTTAGCAATTTAAGCTTATTTTAAAAAAGAGAACTCAGTGTATACTAAAAAGTCTTTAACATACTCATTAGTACTTGGTGTGCTTATTTTAAAAACAAGAATTCAATGTAAACTATATAGTCTTTTTAACATACACATTGGTACTTGGTGCATGTTTCTTCAAATATATATATATATATAATTGTTTTTTAACATTTAACTTTTTTTTAAGTTTAGTTTAATCTTAGGGATTTCCAGCAGGAAATACAAAGCCTCTAGTGCAAATCATTTTATACTTATCTAATATAGAATGGACTGTTGCTTGAGTATTGTTTTTGTCCACATGGCTATTTAAGAAAAGGACATTTATTTTTGGCCTATTCCAAGGAGCTATAAATGGTATTCATATGCCTTCCTCCACATATCCTCTCTACAGTCTTATTGAATATTGACTGAACTACTGAGCCAAGATTTGAATTAAAGACTTCCTTAATTCAGATATTTTGCTTTGGGTAATAGTGATTAGTTCTAGCTTTGTTCAAGAACATGTTCAACGTTCCATCATTTAAATAAATTTTCTACATTTGTTTACTTAACAAAAATTTGCTGGTTGCTTACTACATGCCAGGTAGTGTAGTCCAAGTACTAGAAAAATAAGATAAATAAGACACGTTGCAACCCTCCTGGCAGTGCTCTTAATATAACAGGAAGAGTGAACATGTAAAGAACCACGGGAAAAATCGATGAGAGTTCATCATGGTGATGATAATGAAGATAAAAGTATAAGACTCTAAGCTTAGAGTGGCTTGCTGATAATATTGGGAGAATATAGAAAATGACATAGACCATAAAAGGGAGCCAACTCACTGTGCCTGTCATACATAACATGTCACCTGTCTTTGGAGATACCAGCTACAGAATAATGCCATAGGAACTCTTTTGATCTAGGCTGAGTGAGTTTTCTTACAATTATATAGATTTGAAGTAGCTACAAGAGTCTGTATTTTCTGAACACTTATCTACTTCCTACCTGTTCTTACCTTTGAAGACAGTGTAAATTGAAGAAGGAAATCTCTAGCCATTTCTGGACTATTTTTTCTTTCTCACATTCTTTCTTTCACTAATGAAAGTTACTTTTCTGTTGCATTTTAATTTCATGCATT